TATATATTATATATATATATATATATATATATATATATATATATATATATATACTACAGCAATATTGCATAAGAATGAAACGAAGAATAAACAACATTTTTAAATACTCATTAACGTAATTGATACCTATTGATAGTTTAATGATACCTAATTTTGCGATACATGTTTAGCGTACATTTTGCGCAAATCGTGGATAAGCATTTAAAGAAAATATTTATACACATTTCGAAGAGATAACGACAATTAACTTTTTCTTACATTGGAAAAATATTTAGAGAATTTATTGATTTTTTCTTTAAAAGTAAATTTTTAATTTTCAAAAAAAAGAATTAAATATTTAAGCATAAGCAGTTATTCATTGGAAAATTAATATTTATCAAAAGAAAAACAAAAAAAATTTGGAGAAATTTCAATCTCTTTTACTTACATATGTGAAATCAAAAAGATAATTTCATTGTATCATATAATTTTAGTAGGAGGGAGAAGTTTAAGTACACACACACACATATATATATATATAATTTTATCGTATCATACACGATTAAATCTCATTTGCACTTTGAAGAAAGAGGTGCATATAAATATCGATTTCATAAATTTCGAACAAAAAGATTTACGACAAATGTCAGAATAAAATATATAGATAAGTTAAATAAGGTAAATTAAATTGTTTTAATATTAATTTCCTATATTGAACTATAAGATAGCTTCATTTAAACGTTCATAAAATTTTAATCTTAAATAGAGAGAATAAACATAATTATATGGAATATTTTGCCAAAATGTTTATCCAATCTGTAATAATAATATTCAAAAAAAAAAACAATAAAAATTTAAAATCAAATTAAATTGATTGACAATCATTAAAGTACAGTATATATACATATATATATATATGTACCTTTTGAAATCAGGATTCAGCATTAAACGATACAACAATTTTTCATTTAAATTTACTTACACTATTACCTTATCGTTTTCAGATTAATTTCCCTTGAATAAACACACGGAAACATGGAATCGTGTATGAGGGGGACTTGCTCGTCGGCGTTGCAATCGTCGCCAGCCTCTGTTTTCACTATGCTGTTACAAATGTTGATCGCATCCCGTTGCCGATTAAGCGATACGAGCGAGTATCCTAGAGATCGCAAAGAAGAGATTTTAAATTCGAAAATGGAATTCGATTTCGTGATCATTGGTGCTGGGAGCGCGGGATCCGTTTTGGCACGCAGGTTAACGGAAGTGGAGGATTGGAACGTTTTGTTAATCGAAAGAGGATCGAATCCTTTACCCGAGACCGTATCACCTGGTCTCTTCTTCAATAACTTAGCTGGGCCGCAAGATTATCGCTATGCGGTAAGTGGGATCGAATAATTTCAACCATTCTTTAACACTTTCTTTTCACTTCCAATTGAAGAAGTCGTTATTCCAATTGATCATAGTTGTTCGAATTTATTGCAAAGTAGATACAAAAAAAGTCAAACATATCTCTCTATCGTGTACACCGAGAAATTTCTATAATATCTTGATTAATTCTTTCTCTGAAAGGTCGAGCCGCAAGAGGGTATCTGCCTGAGCATGAGAGACAAACGGTGCAAATGGTCGAAAGGTAAGGGCGTTGGCGGGAGTTCGGACATCAACGGGATGATACACATCGTAGGGAATCGAAGGGACTTCGACGGTTGGGCGAGTCAGGGGAATCCCGGATGGAGCTACGAGGAAGTGCTCCCCTACTTCAGAAAGTGTTCGAGCTGCTCGCCCGAATTCACGGCCAAATACGGCGACAAGTATTGCGGAACCGACGGCCCCCTCAAAATCAGATACTTCAACTACACCGTGACAAACTTCGAGGATATCATTCTGGAAGCGGCTCGCGAAGCCGGCCATCCCATTCTCGACCCGGTGAACGGTGATCGTCACCTAGGATTCGGAAGAACGATGGGCAACCTCGACCAAGGGAAACGTGAAAGTTGCTCGAAAGCTTATCTGACCCCCGTCAAAGACAGGAAGAACTTGTACGTGATAACGTCGAGCAGGGCGGACAAGATTCTGTTCGAGGGCGAGCGAGCTGTCGGCGTCCGAGTCACTTTGAGCAACAACGAGTCGATGGAAGTGAGAGCGACGAAGGAAGTGATCCTCTCGGCGGGAAGTATCGCCAGTCCGCAGATACTGATGCTCTCGGGAATCGGGCCCAAGGAGCACTTGGAGGAACTGGGAATACCCGTTCTGGTCGATCTGCCCGTTGGAAAGAATCTTCAAGACCACGTGATATGGTTTGGCATGTATTACTCGTTCGTGAACGAGTCGGTGACGTCCGCCCCCAGCGAGAAAGATCAATTGAACAACGCTTACGAGTACTTGCAAACGAGCACAGGCTCGTTGGCCACCCTTGCCAACGATCTGATCGGATACGTGAACGTGGCCGATCCCGACCCGAACACCCCGTATCCGGACATCCAGATAGTGTTCTCGCAGATTCAACGGTTGGACACGGGCTCGATGAGGACCGCGATGGCTTCCTACGATGCGAACGATGAGATCGTGCGGTTAATGATGGACGAGATCGAGAGAAGGGACTTGATCACGATTTACAGCTCGTTAATGAGACCTGAGAGCCGGGGCGAGATCAAATTGCGTAGCGCCGACCCGGCCGAGCGGATGAAGATTTACTCGAATTATTACGCGGTGGCCGATGATTGGAAAAGGATGATAAAAGTTGTGCCAATTGTCAAAAGTTTGGTGAACACTACAGCGTTGAAGAGATACGGGATGGAGTTTCATATTTACGATGTTCCCGAATGTCGCCATTTGACCGCCGATACGGACGAGTATTACGAATGCGTGGTGAGACACGTGTCCACCTCGAATTATCACGCGTGCTGCTCGTGCAGGATGGGGCCGGCCAATGATTCGAGAACGGTCGTCGATCACAGGTTAAACGTGCACAAGGTGAAGAATTTACGAGTGATCGACGCATCGATCATGCCGAGTATCATCAGCGGAAATATTCATGCACCGACCGTAATGATCGCAGAGAAGGGAGCGGATTTGATCAAAGAGGATTGGGGCATAAAGGTGTGAAACAGATGGATATATATGTATGTATATATATAATATATATATATGTATGTGAATGTACGTATTTAAAGAATTGTGTTACGTAAGTTATAATCTTATTTATAATCTAATTCGCACGAAGAAATAATAAGGAAAGACGTAGCTACGTTGATAATATTAATTGGTATTTGAATTTAAAACTGAAATAAATTAATATATGATATGAAAATTGAACGATTATATGGTAAATGTTTTCGTCTATTTTTATAGATAATTGGATTTAAATTATTTTCAAATATTTTCAAATAATTGTTTCTTCTTGAAACTTATTTTCACACCTTAATTCTTCTTGTAACATTAGTTGATATTGCAGAATTGTATAAAAATTTACGTAATTATGTAATTTTATATAAAATCATTCGAAAATGTAAAGTCTGGAAATGCAGCTGACTATACAGAAGATAAAAATTTTGTTTTGAAAATGTCTGGATGCCAGCTACAATAATATAGAATTAAAAAAAAAAAAAAAAATAAGAGATTGAAAAATAATAATTTGAAAAATCTTTATATCGTCGCAAGTTCATCAAATAATAACAGGACGAATCGATATTTTTTTCGATATCAACTAACGCAAATTCCGCGAAGTACGATGGCGTTAATCAGAGTGACCACTGTCCATTTGAAATTAATGATGTTGAATCACTTG